CTCCAAAACGAGTGGTTAGTTGCAATGAACAACCACTTGATCGAACAGGATGTGTCTCTGGGTGACACATGTTTTGATATGTTTTGATCATTTTCCTATAAAGAATGTTTCACGATGACGATGATTGTTCCAAAGGTGCCTGGGAGACACGGGTGTTTTCTCTTCGCCCAAAGATGGTTCAGCGAACTACGGACCACAGACCTTCACTGGCCACCCCCAAAAGGGCAGCGCTTTTGGTTCTTCAGGAGCAGCTCAAGGACTTCCTCGATGGCAAGCTGGCGACGGTGACTTGGACCACCGGACGGCTGACCTAGATGAAGAAGAAGGGTTGCTCACTGCCAGGTCCAGCCACCAGAACTCGGAGACCTGTAGAGTCGGGTGCGGAGAAAGAGAGACAGACCGGGTAGATCAAGACGTATTTGTCCATCTTCCGGAGATGTTTGCGTGGAAAGCGGAGAACCAAACCTGACTCACATGACCATCATACGTAAATCCTGCAATTTAACTTGACAAGAGATGTGATAATTACCCTACGGCCGCATGACCACAATCCTTTCCCCCCCCAAAGCCAGTACATAGAGACCATGGAGCCCTCTTGGCTTTCACTCACATTCAAAAGTTAATCTTTGGGGTATGATAGGTATGATTGGATCACCAAAAGCGAGCTCCTGAAGCGGAGCTCGGGAGGATGTTTGCAGGGGAATGGAACACCTCCAAGCGTCAGAACGGACAAGCGTCAGATTAAGAATCCCAACTCCGTGAGTTTGAACTGCCCCAAAGATGGCCCAAAGAACGGCTGCGTCAAAAGGGTCCCAAGCTCCGCCTCTTCATCCGGGTAAAACAGATGGGGGACGGAGGACGGGGGTGCTACGCGAGACCCGCCCCGACGATGGAAGCATTCCCAGAACACACGCCTACCTACCTACCTTGACCCCAGGTCAGCCTAATGTATACCAGCCTTTTGTAGACTTCAATAGTCGTAGGTAGTGACCTGTTGGAAGGTCCTGGTAGATAGTAACCATGTCAAAACCACTTGGGATTGGTTGACCGGTCTCAAAACACCTGTTGCTTCGGTCGACCTGCCGTCGACCCGCTTCTTCGTTGAAACGGTCGTTTAGGTCCGTTTCATGTCTGACGCCGTTTCATCGTGCGGATCAAGCATGGTAACGGCATGCCATGTTCTGATTCGGGTTTTGGAGTCATTTGGTCTTTTTCTGGCCACAGACCTTCTCAGAAGCTACTGGGATCCCTAATTAGGGCTTCGATTTTGGTAATGTTTGCTCTACCAAATGCGTCCTGTGCCTTCTGAAACCGGCGTCCGCATATGCGCTCCACCTGGGTGTGCCCAGGGCCCCCGGACCGGCAGCATCGTGAGCTTCGAGCTCCAACGAGATCAGGTGCGCCCGAGACCGCGGGAAAAGCCGAAACCGCGTGCACCGGAGGCTTTGACCCGTGCCATGGATCGCATGCGAAGCTGCCCACATGCTCGAAGAATGCGAAACGGAAGAGAACAAGCAAGCCTGAGCTGTGAAAGGTTTAGTCGACATGGGGGAATTTGGCATGTCAGGTGAATGATTGAAGGACCAATCCTGAGTTGGAATGACTTGAAGAATGGCTTCGGTCCTTGTGGGCTGGGCTGATGACGATACTAGGCTTCAGAATGAATCACAATCAAGGGAAACGCATGTGGCTCCTTGATGCTCCTTGTTTGCTGGTGCACTGAATGATACTGAATGTCTGCTGGGGGTTGTCCTTCAGGGTTTGGTTCGGTTGGGGGCCTTTGGCCTTTCGTTGCCGGGAAGTACCAGGACTATCCAGGACTACTGCTTTCCTCCTTGATATGTGGGGACCGCTACTTCCAGCAGCTTCGCAATCATCACCCTGTCGCTCTTTGACTCTGCTCATGGTGCTTCTAGTGCTCATTTCAGTGGTGAACTCTGAAATCCCAGAACCGGTTTAAAGGATTTTAAGGAAACACATCTACAGGAAACCATGGTTTTCACCCTGAAAACAATGTAGATTTTCCCTCAAAGCAATTCTGGGATGAAAGGGTTCCACTGTACTCGATGATCACACAGCTTATGCTGCGTGCTATGCGTGCTCATGCTGTGCCTAGGAGGTGTATCGTGCAGGGAACTGCGCATGGGTGCTTGACATGAAAAGAGTCGAGCGACCCCAAACAACGTCGGTGACGAGGTTTGGTTTTTTTGTTCTGAGCGAGGTCAGCGACGAGGTGGGTTTTTTTCGTATTTAAGGCGTTGACACCTTTGATGGTTGAAAACACTTTTCAAGCTCCAGAAACATAGGTGTTGCTGACAGGTCTAGACCTAACAAAAAACAGCGGCCTAACGAGGATTTGATACGCAGCTGCTAGACCCGCAGCCCTTTTCGGGGATGAAATGAAGGCATAAGCTTAATGATTAGCCTAAGGAGTCTGAAGAAAACACAAAATAGACTCTTAAAAAAAAGAAACGGAACAGAAACAATCCTTTGTTGGACTCTCATGTAGATAGCATCATGCTATTCAGCAGGGTGGCAGTTTTAACAGGGAAAAACGCATGCATGACTCGGAGTCCTATGCAGACCTGGAGGTCTTTGACATCGATTGCCATGACCTCTCGAGATCCTAAATTCAGTCCCCAACTAGATGACCGTGGCACGATGTCGCACGGTTTCCAATACTTTTCGACGTGGGCATCTACGAACTTCTATATAACTAGGCGGATCTCTAATAGTATATGGATCTCTCATGCGCGTCCTTCCCGCGTCCTCATTCCCCTGCTTCCTCGGATGTCTCTCGGTCCTTGCAATGCACCCGCTGCATGGACGAAACACGTGGGATTTTCTGGGGCTCCGTGACCTCAATCCGTCGACCTGGTTCACTCCAGAGGACCTGGGTGAACAGACCGGACGGAACATCTTCTGAACGGACCGTGCCACGTCGGACGTCCTGGGGGTGTTTCTGACAGCCAATTTCTTCCAAAAGTTTGAGAACGCTGTTTGCGTTCTGAGCTGTGGAGAACGTGTGGAGACGAGGGAGGTGTTATATAGAATTGGTGAGGCGAGGTGCCAACTTGCCCATTAACGAGGCGAGGTGCTAAAGCCACCGGGAATTTCACCAACGAGGCAGACAAGGTAAGAATTATATAAAGTAATTTGCACATGATATGCATCCGCTTGATAGTTGTTTGACTGACCCAACACTTTCAGAACATCGTGGACAAACTGAACATTGCCTTGTCTTGGGGGAATTTGGGGGGGATTCAAGGCTTGAGTGGCTTGACCTTCCAACCAAGTTGGCCCGTCCCGAGCAGGGGCCATTCGGCCCATGAAACCCTCGAAACTTCGGCGCCGTTGGGTCGAACGGTGTGTTCATGCCAGCTGGATGTGACGTCACGACTTGTTTGGGGATCATTTGTTAAGGGGTCAACGTTGGCATATGAATTCCAGTGCCATGTTGTGTTTGAGATGAAGTTGCAAGATCCTCGATTCGGGTCATCACCCAACGCAACAGCCTGCAAGCTGGTTTCCTGTGCCGATTGGCGCTGGAGCGATGTTTGGAGCATGAAGGGCAACAAACGATCGGATCTGCTGGTATACACGGGTCATATCATGGACCTCCAGGGTCGCATCATGTCACATCATGTCTTTCTATGTCTTTCAATGTATACTTTCGATCGTTTTTGAAACCGTCCACCTGAAACGCACATTCATCCTCAACTCCCCCAGGCCGAACCTTCAAGACTGACCTCACCGTTCTCGCCTCGACTCGGCGACTCCGTGGGCCGCCCTCGGCCAGGAGAGCCATTCGTCGAAGGGACGCGCCTACGTCACCATGACCGACACGGCGCGGTGCCACCGTGCGAGCGGTGCGGTGCCGTCGGGGGAGAAGCTGACTGAAAGACATGGGGAATATGAATGAGCACCAGGAGTCACAGATCACAAAGAGGTGCCAAACACAAGGAGGATAGGGTCAGGGTTGCCCAGAACATCCACTCACTGGATGGGACAAGTTACACCACGCCCTGTGTGCCTGGCAAATGGATCTTAGTTTGATCACAATTCGCAATATTGGTGGATGGTTATCAAGTCCACCTGCTATACAATATGACTGTCTCTCTACATGTTCATGGACATAAAATCACTATTTGGGCTGAGGGATGGCGATCTGCATTAAACTGTCATTTTGCTCGGATGTTGCAATTATATAGTGGTTGTTTATGTTGTATCTGTTTCTGGTATTTTCCTGTGCCACGTTCTTATACATTTTTGTAATATGAGATGCTCGCCCACAGATCTCAGCGACTTAATGCGATCTCAGGGATGTTTTGGACCACATATACAGTACTCTACCAGCACCCAACCACTGCCACGTGTTGGGTGCTGGTCTTGATGCTTTCGACCCTGAGGTCCTTACTTCGATACCTACCGATCGGCCCGTTCGCCAAGCTGAGCGGATTCTGCTCCTCGTGGAGTATGGATTCTGCTCCTCCTCATGAAAGGTCCCTCGACTCCATGGCGAGCAGATGCCACAAGTACCAAGAGCTTTGTAGGTTGGATTATTAAAACATTAACATGATTGAAGCATTACGAAACCTTCATGCGAGTTCTATGCTTTGAAAAGCCTATATCCAATGTATGCAAACTGACAGTATCCACAGTATGATGAGCCAAGGTACATGTAAGTCACCAAGGGGTTCAGAATCTGCCTTCGCCTTTCCGGGGGACTTTGGAACCCTCGTGAGTCGGAGACGGAGGCGCAGTCGTGAGGTCTCAAAGCTGGTGGTGCACTATCGTTTTCTAAGGGCTATTTGGAGGCCCCCACGGTAGGTGTCCTTTTGGACCTACCTTGCGAGTTGACCTCCTATAATCCTCCCCTTAGCTATTCTTGGTTTTGCTGATCAGATGAGGTTTCTCTGGAATCCATGTGACTCTCCGGAAGGTGGAATCATCTCTTCTGTGTTCTTCTGCTCGTTCCGCCGATCTCACCGTGACCCCCCTTTGGCTCAGCCCGCGCCAACCCGTCCCGACGCGGAACGACCGTCTTCCTCGACACCGCGCCGGGAGCCCCGCAGAGAAACGTGGCTTCCGAGCGGGATCCAGGGCTGGTGAAGGAGCCAGGGCTGGTCAGGTCTACCAATTGGGCATCTGCAACAAAACGGTTTGCCTACGGGTATGGGGTAGACCCCAAATTGATCCCAACAAAACGGAGCCTTCACAGCGGATGTGGAACGTTGACTTGTAGGTCAGACCAACATCTACCTGGAGGCTCCAAAGTATCCATATACAATTTGTTTGTTTTTGTATAGGTTACTTTGGAGCCTCCAGGTTAGACAGGTATATACCCATTTTGTAGGACTTACTGACGGTCCCCATTTCTTTGAAGTCCGTCCAACGATGCAGACCTGGATGCACAGGTCCAGAAAGCCTTGCGCGTTCACATCGCCTTGGGTTTTCCCCTCTATGTTTGGGACGAAAGAGATCACAAAAGCCTTGGAAAGAACAAGCTCAGGCTCAGTGAGGGACATGAAGGACGCTTTTTTTGATGCTTCAAGCAGCTGCTAGCTAGTGCTAGCCGGTAGCCTTCACGCAGCGAAAAACGTATGGACGTAACTCGATCACCGTAAAAAGCACCTCAGGCTGATGCAGGCAAAGTTCTTGGCCGATGCTGCGAAGCTCCCAAAGCGCACGCCCGTGCCCATGACTAGTCGAAGAGGGACGTGGTCGGTGGATAGTCGGAACGGACGGATTTCCGGGGGTTGGACCATTGGACCATTGGACCACTGGACCATTGGACCATTTCCTTATGCGTGTCCTTTTTGGTTTTGGACCATTGGACCGCATTTTGGGCGACTCTGGGGGTCAACTCAATGTCCATTTGGGCCAGAGCTTGTTGGGCCGAAGCAATCGAACTCGCTGTCCGAGCGAAGGTTCCACAGACACCACTTACATAACGGTTATAGTTGGATTTGTATGGATTTGTTGGTTTATAGGGTGGAAGCATGTGGAGGTGAACAAACAAGGCACTCCCCGATTTTCATGGAGGTGGAACAGCCCCTGGAAAGCCTGGAAGACGATGTTTCCACTCGGAGAGAGTAGTTTGTTTTGATGCAAGTAAGCATGTGTGTGCTTACGTTTTCGTTGACCCTTGCACTTGTGGGGAGCATTATGCTCCACTGGTGCACTCCTGCCAAGCCAGAGCGTTCTTCGGCTGTGACGGCCTGATGGATTCGGAACGTTTTGTATAGCAAGATAATAGCACGGATGACATCGGTTGTCCTACCGAGTGAAGGAACTACCTGCACCGTCCACAGTAGTTCACACCCGTTCACCTTCCACAGTAGTTCACACCGTGGGATTTGGGGCTCCCTTTACGAACCTCATTCGTCGCCTTGGTTCGCATGTGGTTCGGTTCACCGGTCCCGTTCGGAACCGGTCTCTTGTTCCGTTTTATGTTTAAGCTTATCTTAGCTACGTCGTCCCAACCTTAGACCTTTTTGGCCCAAAACAAAGTTGACAGTTAGCCATCCTAACCCCTAGGTTCCCTAGGATCTCTAACTGTGTTAGAGCGTTGAGCCATAGCTGGTTGGACTTCGTTCGCCGACCACGAGAACTTGTTGGAAGGTTTAAGATGTTTTAGGATGGCGTGTTTGACCTGACTCGACACCGTCTTCTGACTCGAAACGAAGCAAACACGGTGTTTACACGCAAAACACGACAGTCGTCCAAGAACAGTGGTTGGGATGTAGTCTACGTAATGAGTATACGTCGATGTCTGGAGAAGTAAAATAACAAAGAAGCAATGACTCCGGACTCTGATTAGAGTCTAAGACCCTTGAACCAAAACAGTTCTATTCGTAGAGTACATCCGAGCTATGGCAGTCCGTTTTTCATCGTTTTTGTTCCCCCCCCCCAAAAAACTAGTATATAGCTAGATGCTACGCACGGTGAAGGCCATCGCTATTAGGTTGGAGGCCATGACTAGTAGCAAGAATATATATATATATATACTATATTATATACCAGCACCCTCCAACAGGTCACCACCTGCGACTTAAGTCAGCAAAAGCCTCCAGAATTCCAGAGTGGGAGACCTGTTTTCCGTGCTGGTATATATCATCAAAAGGGTCCCAGGGACGGTCCGTTGGCTCTGAGGCAGGTTTCTCTCTCTTCGCCTCGCTGCCCACAAGCATTCCGGCGGGTGGCAAGGCGTCTTCACGCGGCGATCTGGTGCGAAGCCGTTCGTTCGGGACGGCGCGGCGGCAACGCTGCTGTGGTGGGTGCGGCTTGCCGCTGTTCACTGTCAAAAACCATGTGGTTCATGTTGTTTTACATGGTTTTCTGGAAGGTCCTGCGGGCTTCGAAGGATGAAATCATCATCACATTGTCGTGTGGTCAATAATGTGCGGTCAGCCAAAAACCGAGGCATTCAGGTGTCAAACCGATGTTTGACCGCCGATCGGTCCGGGAGGGGGGTCGCTCTGCACGGTGCCATCCGTGTTCGGACCTGGTCCTGCTCCTCCAGACCTGGTCACTTCGAGCTGGCGAGTTCGCGGTAAGCGGCCGTGACTCGCGGTAAGCGTCTGAGCCATCGAAGGGGGGCCGGAACAGGGGAAAGGGTACTTCCAGTTGTAGCTGTTTTTGGACACCCCTAGTCACTAGTCTAGTCTAAGGAGTCCGAGGAGCTACTTATAGATACCCCTCCAAGGAGGGTACTCTGTCAAGAGATCAGTTTCATTCTTTTCTCCCCCCGGAGGGCACTGGAGTTGGTCGCTTGGCCATGAGTTAGATGACACAGGACAAATTCGGGATTGACGCAGGACAAACACCCCGAGATCTGATGGTTGGACGCTTGCCCTCCAAAACAAATATTGATCCTGCATGGAATAGACTGTGGTCATTGTTAGTCCTCAAATGTCCTCAATAATGCCGTAATGCCCTTGCACAGAAACGGTCCAGCCAGTTGGTGTTGGAGTTCCCCTTGACCTCCCGTGCCACCGTGGCATGTCCGCCGTTTCGCATCGCGTGACGCGTAGGGCGTGGTGAAGACCGGCCTGGCCATTGCCATTCCTGAGGACTGAGTTACAGCTGCCCATGGTGGCCATGGTGGCCATCGTCATCCCATTGGAAAAGAGTGGAAAAGAGGGTAATCATATGTTATCGTCGTAGTGGGGTATGATTGAACGGATGGATACATAATGCGAATGCTTGCGCACTTTTTTTCAAAGGGTTGCAGAGGAATCATTATGATTCTAATCAAAAGCCAACAAGTGCAACTTTGTGCAGGGCATCAACGGCCAGAATAGACACAGCTAGAAAAGCACAGTCCTCCTTCGACATGTCGCACAGAATCATTTGGGTCGGTGACTTTCCATGTGGGTCATGTGGGTCAGTGTTGGAGTGGTTCATGCATTTGTTGGAGTGGTTCATATGCTCTATACTTGAGAATGACCAACAATAGCCACCGCTTGGACGGCTGCAAATCTAGTTTCGGACTCGCCAAACAAGAAAGGAAACAGACGACAAAACAGAGCGAGGAAGCCATGAGGAAGTCTCTCATGTTCAGATAGTTTCGGTATAGCAAATTGCATGTCGGATAGTTGTGGCTTCCCAAATGGCGTGGGTTCCCCTCATCTGGCGCCTTCAAGAATCCAATACCATGTCACATGATCACTTGACTTGCCTTTTTTCTGAACACCCACCCACACAGAAACACCCAAATTGGTCTGAGACATCGCCCCCTCCACCAAGATTCACCATCTCCTAAATCCATCACTCCCCCCCAAACCGCCTGGCCCTCCGTGGGGCCGTGGGCTCACCGGTGGTGGGACCATCCCTATGGGCCGCTGGGTCGGCCGTCGACGCGTCCCGATCGGAGGAGACCTACGCGCGGGTGGCCCCGCTGAGTCGATGGGCCGAGCGCATGACGCTGCGTCGAAGGGCCGTCGGGGACCGATGTGCCCGGGGTCATCGGGGGTGTTTCGACGACGGCGTGGACGACCGGGGTTGGACGACGGCGTGGACGACAGAGATAGATGAGGGAGGTATTTTCTGGGAGACGTTTTTGTTGGGATCACAATGAGGTGACCTTGTTGAGGGGAGGACATTTCAGCCCGACATGCAAACAGGCAGCTTTTACAGGAGAGGCTAAAATTTAGGCCTGAAGGATTCATAATCTATGGCAACAGTATCCATTTTCCGAAATGCTCGTAGGCCATCCGTTCAGCACAGCATGATTTTCATTTTCCCTGCTTCATGATTTGGCTGTTGGCATCTTTCGGCTTACTTGCTTCACAGGAACAAGTAGCCAAAGGACTTATTTCAAGCCAGAACGGGCCAAAAAAGGGCCGTGCTTCAGACTTGATGGGCAATCAGGTGTGTGGTGGAACAACCAGCCAGGCTGGCCGCATGACGCAGCCGACATGTTCTTTCCCATGTACCTTGTGAAGGTCTCCGACTTGCTTCAGATGAAAGGCAGTCCAAAAGCTCACTCTTTCCTGCAGCAGGAGAACGTGTTGCACCAGTGGAAGCCAGGTATGGTCGTGCTTTTTATCTCTCATCAGTGGCTCTCATGGCTGCATCCCGATCCATCTGGTCGCCAGTTGGAGGTTTTGCAACAAGCCTTGCAGGGTCTCATAGATGGATCGATCCGCTTGAGTATCTGGGTGGTGCTTTGGAGTCTATTTGACTTTCCGTCCCAACATGTATAATAACAACAACATACACATGCAGCTATTTACAATGTCTCAATTGGATTCAATTGACTGATATAGAGTTATCAGATAGAGCTATTTACGATGCCCCAATTGATAGCATTTACATTCAATTTACTAGACTTCTTGTTCTCGATGCATAGATCATGTTCATCCAGGATGCTTTTCACTCCCAGGTCTGGATGGCTGGGTCTTCTTTGCGGATGAAGGGAAGGCCACAGCGGAGCTCCGTGTGCTTCGCTCCCGGAGGCCCATTGGTTTGGCATTCCGCAGCTGACCTCCAGAACTCTGGGCATCAGATGTGGCCAAGTCTGGGGCGGCGAAAGCTGTTCCTTTCATCGGAAAAAAGATCAGTTCAACAACCCTTTTTGACTGATACTATTGAGTTCTTTGTTGTTTTTTTTTCGAAGATCCTTCATGCTGTCCCTTAGCACTTTACAGTTTGTGGAGTCGGGTTTTAACATGTTCCAATGTCAATCCTCTCGTCTGTATGAGGTTCAAAGTATTCCAGGATATGTGGAGAGGTGCGATTTCTTCATGGTCCTCGCTCCAGAACTTTTCCATCGGGACACTGGATTGATTTGCAACTCCACTTCTTGGCAGTCACGTGGCTGGTGTATGGCTGAATTGCTGTGCCATCAACTGTCCAAGAAGCCAGACACCAGTATCATTACTATTCATTCCGGAAGGCATGCAGAACTGAACTCTTGGAAGATTCATTGGGACGCAGTGTGGCAGAGCAAATTCACGGTTGAGGAAGACCGGTGTTTGGTTGCCGATGTTGTTCGAAAGTCAGTTGAAGTGAAGATTCAACACGAGAGGGAAGCAGGGTCTTTGGTCTACTCCCGCTATTTGGTGACCGGGCAATTTAAGCTGCTCCGGGACGTCATCCCAGCATGGGAGATTGAAGAGTTCTTGAGGCAGTTTCAATTTTCCAGCCTCCGTGAGGCCGCGATGGATTCCAGCTCCATGCCAGGCTTGCTTTGCGCGGTTCTTTCGGGCGATGTGAAGATCCGGCTCTTGGTCGAAAGCACGGCAGATGTCAACCTCAGGTCAGCGGCCAAAACTGCTGGCAGGAGAGTGAAACGAAACTTTTGGGTGACTACAGGAATGAACGCGGATGCGCTAATGAACCATATCATAACATATATTTTTAGTTTCTATTACATCCTGTCATTCTTCAACCAGACATGTTCGACAAAGAGAAAGCAAACTCCAATGTGATATATCAATGTTTTGTTCAGAAAAAGCTTTCGATTCTACTGATCAGTCTTTAGGTGCAGCCTATAATTCGACCGAGGGTATTACCAGACATTCCGTGTGTGGCATGTTTAGATACATTGGGTGGTTGACCTAGGGTCAATGTATACATCTTCCAGTCCCATTAGTCGTGTCTCGGTTGGACAAGAAAGCTTGTTTTCTGCAGGTGCCATGGGCTGGAAAAGGTGTGTAGCCAGCCAAGTGGCCATACACCGTTGATCATCGCTGCGCGAAGCAAGCAAAATCCCTCGGTGCTGGCCACACTCATCGAGCTCCAAGCAGATCTGAACGCCGGCAGCCCGTTGGGGTCCCGCATTGCTCACTGGGCTTCTTCGGTGAAGTTTAGTTGGCACCTTTTAGACATTTTAGACTCCCTGAAAGAGTCATTGAAGTGGAGTTCACCACCTGTGTGGTATTTGGATAATGGTAATCCAATGGGCCATAGTTGTATATGATTGTTTCAGGGAGTGTAGATCCATTGAGCTCCGTTGGTTGGTCACCCGTTCGCGATCAACTTCTTCGATCAAGTTATGAAAAACAGGTCCAACCCTGCTTTCTCGTGAGGTTCAATCACCAGGACAAGTACGTGTGCTGGCGCATGCCAAGGTAGACCTGGAAGACATGGGAAAGTTTGGGCATTCCCCCCCTGGCGAGTACATGTTCTTTGGCGAACCTTGAAACGGTGGCTGAGATGATTGCATGCGGCTGTGACGTCAACCCATCCTCAGCTGGTTTATATCCCTTGCACATTTTGGCCACCAATACCAAACGGGAGTCGGCCGAGAAAGCCAAGCTTCTCATTGCACATCGAGCAGATGTCGATGTAAAGGCCTCCACCTCTGGCATGTTTGCATGCGTTTGTCGTGGGGCTCAAATCATCTCCTACACCGCAGATTTTGGGTCTCTCTCGGCTGCCACGAACTCTGACAGTGTTCAGCTGACCTTGTTCGATCGCTTTTTGATCCGGTTTTGGAGGACAGGTGTTTGGTGGCCCACATGTCGGGCCCAAAGCCACTTGTGCTAGGGTCCTGTACGAACATGAATTTCTGGTGCTGGTTTCACATGCAAATATCGATTTGCTTAACAATTTTGAGAATAGTAGGGACCCACAATGACCCGCAGTAGAAGTGAACATGAGATGAACACTTGTAAGTTTATGAGCGAAGGCGTTCTTAACTCCTAAGCCTAAGCCAGAGTCTCCAACACAACGAGTCTTGAACAGTTGTTGCCCACACCAGGTTCCAACCTTCACGCAACATCCAAGGAAATTGTTTGGAAGCCTTGAAGGCATCACACCGCTGGGGATGGCAGCCTTTTTCGGTGATTATGCTTTGACTCGATGCCTTCTGCTCGCAGGAGCGGCCCATGCTTCTGTTTCTGACAAGGGATAGAGTTACACAGCCCAGGGCATTGTACCTATGATCATGGTGTACTTCTACCACAAATTTTGCATCTAGGGACATTGTACCAGTTTGATCTGAAAGTGTTTGAGTGTACGTGTTTGACATTGAGTGCACATGGTCATCTTTGTAATGTGTTCACTTGTCAAGAACATGCAGGCACGCATACATGTGCATAGTCTTTGCTTTGTCCAACACGCAACAAAACAGGCGGTTTGATTTCAAAAGCCTATTCACTTTCAGTTCCGATGCAATCCGTTGTGTTTCATCAACTGTGCAAAGTCTGATATAGTAATGTAATCCGCACCAGTGGAAGGACAGGGCTTCTTCTTCTGACACTGCTCAAAATCTTCTTGCACATCTATTTATACAGTCTAATTTTGAAAGTGATGATTGCGTGCAATGATGTTCTGATGACCAGCATTGAAAGAATTGAGTATGCCGATGGCGAGACTGTTGAACACCAGCAGTGTGTATTGTGAGAGTGCCCGAATGTTTTTGTTTAGCAGTCAAGAACAATTAAGTTTGTTCAAGGATGTGCAGTTTCATTCTTAAAGGACCCTCAAAGAATCCGGATGTGGACAATTTCTCAAACAAACGTGGCTTTGTTCAGAATGAGTTGTATATGTATCTCATGTCTGTAGGTGCTAAGCTGCTAGGTTTTTTTCATGAAACCACTGTTTCTCGGCAAATGTTGGGCGGACATGATAGTTACTACATTTTCCCTATAGAAGTCGAACCACCATTGTTTTAATAGCCTGAATCCCGAACCACCATTGTTTTACTAAGGGTTTGAGTCACTACAAAACCAGAGTCAACCATTTTGAAGCATGGTCGACTTGACTTCCATGGGTTTGGATAGCACCGACCGCCCAACAGCCGGCCCGGCTCGGTGGCGGATGCTGACCGTGCCATCGCAGGAGCTGACCGTTCCATTGCCAATGCTCGTGGCGACCTTCCTGTGACCTTAGCAGCTACTCAAGGCCACCAGGCCGTGGCCCGCCAGGCGGTTATGGGTTTTGCCATGTTTTGCCCTATGTTTTCTCCGGTTCCTGGGTAACTCACCAGGTATCCCCGAGCTTCTTAAGGAGAAACATCTTTTTTTACTTTAAACAGTGGCTGGGAACCGCACATCCAAGGTGGTGGACGAGCTCATGAGCTTTTGAACACCTCGGATCTGCCCGGTCTTTTTTGACCATGGAGAAACTCCACAGTGCGGAGAAGCAGGTGTTCACCGAGCCGATCGGAGGTCAATTCCCGATGAGTGGGATTTTAATTTTGGGTCGCTTCGCAAGCAAGCAAGCGGAAGTTGTAAAGGCCCAAAAGGTTTTCAATGTGTTTTATTGCGCTTTGCGTAGCTTGCGGAGGGTCTGACAGGGGTGCACACATCTACCAAACCAAAGCGACAGTTGTGCCCTTTCCCATCTCACCAAGAGGTTCGTAGTTTCCGCAGCTTCCAGTCAACCACCTTTAAAGCAGCTGACGCAGTTTTCAAGATTCAAGAGACATCACAGTCGGCCTGAGAAGTCAAGGGAAATCAACAGCACCCGACGATAAACAGGTCACCACGTCCTGCCACTTCAGAAACTCTCCAGCAATCAGTAGTCGGAGACGAACGTAGAGCCGGATGCTCTATGAAATACTGTACTGAGAGGATCATTCTTTGATTGAAGTGTCTTTCTCACGGTGCTCTTTTTTCCCTTTTCTCCCTGCCGCTGTGGATGCGTTTCACACCCTTCCAATATCGCCCGCATCACGGAAGGATGTTGTGTGGTCGTTGAGATTGTACAGCCGAAACCCAGCCCGCAGGCGATGAATGAAGCAAAAGCCGTCGATTCGCGACTCTAAACGATCAAGGCAAACTGGTGAGTGGAAACAGATAGCAGCCAAGGGTCTTGGTAGAATGTGATTGTTTTTGTGTCACATGTTTTACACGTTTGGAACGACGGGGTGCACCATTTGTTCAGTGCTTTGGCAGGGATTGATGCGTTTGGTGTCTGCTTCCGTACGAGAAGCCGTCTGCTTCCGACCTCGGTCATGGACGGACCCCGGTTTTCTCAATTCGATCTGAAGACTGGCCAGTCGAGAATGCGCTTTGATCCGTCGGTGACCCGCCATTGCGGAGCCCAGCTCCACTGGGCGACCGGGGTCGGCCCAATGGGTGTGTTTACTTTTCAAAATAGGGAGACACCCTGGCCCAATGGCTAGACCGGTCTTGTTGTTTTTCTTCCAGGGGGCCGGGACGCCTGGGATGGTTTCCCAATTTTACGACCAAATCCGGTTTTGGTGGAGCTGCCGGGTGGTTTGGAGCTTCGACATCCACCGATGTCCGAAATGAACCATGTCTTCAAGTTAGAGTGACTCACCTGAGCCGGTGGCACCAAATCCCAATGGTTTGATCTCTTCAGTTTGTTCCTCATTCTGGTCACTCCATGACGGTCACTCCACCGACCGGTCCGACCGGTCTCACTGGCGTCCGCTCCAAGGATCCAGACCGGCGCTGGAGTGGTGGACTACGACTACCGCGGGGAGGTGCGGAGTGCGGGGGACTGGTGAGGCCCAGGCGGTCGGGAGGTTCGGTCGGGAGTGGTTGAGCTGAGGTAAAGACCGAACCAAATGGGCACAAGGGTCCATTCTGTTGAGCTGGGCTAGTATGGGTCTAAGAGTGGGTCTAAGGCTTAACTACAGCAACATATCGAAAAACATGGCACTGTGATTGTCCCCTGGAAGCTTTGTTCCCTCTTCTCTTTGAGGAGTCTGTATTAGTCGTCACATGGGGACTTGCATAGGGCTTAGCCTACCTTTTTCGTTTCTCGCCAATCCAATCCTTTATTACATTTAGTGACATGGTGTTCACACGAACAGCATAGACCGGTGCCAGGTCATCTCTCACCCGACGGGTACAGGTGTTCTTTCAGCCTACCTGTGCACCGGAGCCCCACCGGATGATTCCCACTCCAGATCTGCACCTCTGACAGGTGGGTGTGGTTCTCTTCAATCATGGACCGGAGGAGCCCCTGGTGGCGGACAAACACGAGTGGGAGGAGGAGGAGGAGGAGGGCAGTGATGGGCGGTGATCCCGACTTTACAGGACCAGGAGGCAAAATCAAACGCGGGACAAACTGAGACCTTTCAGGGGAAGAACAACTAAGAAGTACCCCGCCCTTCTCTGGTGCTTTGGAGACTTGTTGGTGTTGATTGATATACTTCAAAAAAAGGAAGAAGTACCTGGACGCTATGGCTCGGATGATCGGCATTTGTTGTTATGTGTTCTTTTGCTCCGGATGCTCTCTTCCTCCATTTGATACCAAAGGTGGGGACTGTTGGCGGAGCACGTCTTCTGCAACTGGTAAATCATCGCGCACCTGGTGAGAAACACCTGGACCTCTTTCAAATTTGCCTTGATTTGAGAACCCTTCCATGACCCATATCTCACCACTCCATTCGAAGAAAGGTCCAGACGTGCTGCCCCAGGTACCACTGGCTGAATTCCCCATGACCCCCTCATATCCCTCGCAATTCAATAAGGATAAGTAGGATGTGCCCAGCAGAATACACCTGATATGTGACCTCTCTTGTTGGAGGGTTTCATTCACAAACCCGATTGGTATTTCAGGATAAAGGGCAAAGTGCATCCTTCAGGAAAGACACATGGAAGTTCATATGAGCAACCACTTTTATGTAAACTAGTCTACGGCATGCTCTATTTGTTTGCCCAACATCAGTATTCACTGGTGAACGAGATGGGCCGGCACATAAACGCCGTTGCTTGCTCTGTGCCGCGTGCAAAACATACTGGTTAGTAAAAATGTCATTTTATTTGGAAGGAAGAAGTCAGTTTGCCCGAGCGGTTAACGGGGTGGACTTAAGATCCACAGATACTTGTTTGATGACACTAGTCTGAACGAGATACTGTGATCTTCTACTAAAGTATACAGTAGTCTAAACGAGACGGCGCCCGTGCATAATAGATAGTCGTAATCGAGTCTAGTAAAAAAACACAATCGTCGCTGCGCATAGCGTGTATACTGGGAGATCCCCAGTTTGATTTCCTTGTAACACTTGCAAAGTGGACAATCACATGTGTAGACGGTTTCATTTCATTGGACGGCCTTATTCAAGGAAAGGACCCATGTCATGTGGGGTCCTCTAAGACCTGCAGCTCTCCAAGCGATGTTTTCAGGAGCTCTCAGTCACTGCCGGCGACGAAGTGGCGTATCTCATTCTCGAGAGCCTCGAACGCACGCACGAGAAATTGACAGACATGGACCAAAGGGTTTTAGCATGTTTTGACCATATCCTGACCCCTGAGGTATAGTACATCGAACACAACACTTGGGGTTAGTCCTGGGTTGTGCAGATCGGGCCTTAGTGTCGCGGTTCCTGGGTAAATCCCCGAAACGGCGGAATATCCCCTATAGGGCTCCAACCACCTCCTGAGAAGGTGGTTGGGGTGGGTTTGGGGGGGGTCTAACCACCTTCTGAGGATATAGTTGGAGCCCTAGGGATCACGTTGTAAGGTTTGTATGTTTGTCCCGCTTCCTGGACGGCAAATCCAAGTAGTGGGAACCCCAACTTGAGCAGGATCCTCATCCTATTTGGAAGTCCAAAGACTATGTGGCATCACTCACCCAAGTATCTAAGGAAGAACCATCCTTTCTTAGGCCGCCGAACATGCCCACGATGTGTTTGTCTGCTCGCCTTGGACCGCCAAGGGCGCGATCCGCACGAAACGTGGGGCTTGTCACACACGGGGGGTCCAGTCGCCTGCAACGTGTGTGTTCGGCTGCGTGTGTCACACCGGGGGTCTCCTGACCGGTTGAACAGAACCCAGACACGACTAATGGGACTGCCATAGGACTGCCGATCAGTTGGGGTGGTTTGGGGGGTCCGGTAACCATCCGGTATCAGGTTACCAGCACCTGATTTCACAAGTAGTCACCCATTGAGACCTGGCCCAGGTCCAACGTCACCCTCGAATCAGGAGAGGTCTACAGAGTCGGGTGCTGGTATCATTTTGCATGGGCCATGCAGACTCAACTGCGTCAAAAGACTCTGCTGCCCACAACCAATCCAACCATATCCAACCTCGATGTTTTCTGGACCGCGCCCTGTCCCCAATTGACCAGTGGTGTCGAACACTACTCGCCGTTCGGGCGAGTCTGGAGTCGTTTTTCTCTCCGCGACTGGGAGATGCCTGGGTTCGGTTTCATGCCGTCGTCCAGGAAGATTTCCATGGCCGGATGCCGAGAGGTTGAGCTGCTCGGCCAGCAAAAGTGATGAAGAATTCGACCGAAGAGGTGATATGTTTTCTTGGATTGGAACGAATCAATCCCTCCGGCATCTTCTTCAAACCGCTTTTCAATGGTTTGCTGATGTCGCCTGGAGCAGCGAAATCCAACTCGGAGTGCTGGATAATTAGTCTGGATACTAAATAGTGCAGAGCTGATTGTGGACATGCGATCTGGAACACAGGAAGCACGGGAATACGCCAAAAAAAATCAGACAAACACGATCAACAACGGTATTTGGGATTGGTGCAGCAAACGTAGTCCATCAAGAGCATGGGTAATCAGTCACAGATCTCAATCCCTGCGTCCAATGGACACCATAAGAGAGTTTACTGCCGCCCATAGCATTTGCTCTTGGCTTTGACAACTCATAAAATTCAGGAAGGCTAAACCCGGGGGTGAGGTTTCGAGCTATAGACGAAAGAAAGTGATGCCGACCATTTGTATTCATTTGTTTGTTCACACCGTCTTCAGATTTCATGGTGTGTCTCATCCGTCTTCAGAAATCGAGCACACAAGAGCTGGGCCGTCTCAGCGTCTCAGCTTCGCACGGGGTTTCGGAGCGCTAGAAAAAGATCGACATAGTAACGCCACTTGGTTTGCCGAATGTGCGAAACAACCGCAAAAGATTGGTTGGAGATGAAACACTACAGTGGATCTCAGAGTTGATGGCACTAGCTACTGCTACCCAGTCGTTTTTTATGGATGCGATGGTGCTCATTAATAGAAAGAGTCTAGCTTGTGCCATTTGGATAGCAGTTGAAACCGCTTGTACATCACGGAAGTGGATGGCCTGGCCGAACGTTTCGGATGATCAGGGGTCTGGAAGCCGACCTGGTGGAAAAGTGGCGGGTTTCCACTGACGATTTCAGGGATGTGTACCCTTTCAATGATTTGCTTGCCTCTCACCCAAGGTCCTTGGACGAGACCTTGCGTGGCACTGGTGGCTTCGGAAGCACGGGCATCTCTGGTGAGGCCGGACCGGACCGCGCCTGTTGGAGGTTGGAAAGCCGGGTCCCAAGCAGAGTCTGGGTGGACTCTCGAGTGGCCAGTCACTTCAGCACTTCCTATGTCAAGGATGCACCATACTGGAACAACCAGAACTTGTTTTCTGCTTGGGACTGGGCTTCCAGGATGGAATTCATCCCTCAGAAGATCTCAGAAGCTTTCGGAATTGAGTTCAAGCCTGCCGACTCCAAGTTCCCAAAGGATTCCTAGCTGGGCTTTTGCCTGGCAGTTAAGATCTTTAACTTGTTGCCTAATGATTCTAATGATAACTATGATTCTCAACTCCTGGGCTTCATGGTGCTGCATGACACCTGCGGACTAAAGCAAAAAACAATCATACACCGACAGACCTTTCAGGTGGCTTCAAGGCTGTTGCACATGTTTGTATAGATGAATGAGTGAGCGCCAGTCTTGATTCTCGAACAAGTTGTGGCCCAAGTAGCGCAAAAATGTGATTGCCTATGCAAAAGATGTATTCCCATTAGCTGAGTCACCGCGGTTGCAATCTGCAGATGTAGCTTATAGCATACTTGTAGGATGCAGTTCAAACATGAATACACCTATATAATGTCCATATAATTCACAGCGCTTCGCGCACGAAGCCGCCCGCACGGAGTGTGTGCACACGGAAGAACACACGCACGATGTCAATAGTCTGTCTCGGTCGGTCTGGATGTCTGTCTGTCTGTCTGTCTGCCTGCCTGCCTGCCTGCCTGCCTGCCTGGCTGGCTGGCTGGCTGGCTGGCTGGCTGGCTGGCTGGCTGGCTGGCTGGCTGG